TTTCCCTACTCCCCGAGAGCTTCCCCCAGGCTGGTCTTGGGCTCTTTTGGAGAGCTTTATTGGCACGTCCCTGGAAGTGAAGTTTAATGGCCTTGTGTTGGTTAAACTGAGTGTGCAGAGTTCCTAATCTTGATACAAATACTTCACAGTGTGTTGCGATCCCTACACTGAATGGACACTGGTTTGTAAGGCTTCACTTAGGTTTCAGTTCTTGTGCAAAAATAGAAAATCTCAAAAGTATTAGGGCAGAACTCTAGGTCTCCTTTGTGTTAGCATGACTGCTGTCTTGAACGGATGGAAGTTTGTAGGCAAATATTAGTTGTAATTTCTAACACCTAGGAGTTTTAAGTGTTAGAATTCTTGAATTTGGAAAAACCAAAAACCATTTAATGCTCGAGGGCTTAAGTTCATTTTGACATTTGTTTCCATGAGCAGAAAAGTGAACAAGAATGGTAAACTTCCTTTTGTGACCTAGCATAGAATTAATCAAAGAGCAAACAAAGTACATACATGGTTTCCTGAAACAGCCTGCTGAAACATTTTAGTGTTTATAAAATTCTCTTAGAATTGGATAACTAATGCTGATCGGGGTATGAAATCTTGGCCTGTGCATGTGGAGCATATTTAACTTTTTGTATTCCCACCGCCCCCATTAATTATGAAATTGCAGAGCTTCAGACAACAGAGAGGTATCCTCTTCAAGCAGCTGGTTGCTTGATCATCAGCACATCAAGAAAAGAAGAAGAGACAGGTCAAGACTAAGATCTCTCTCCGTGGCTAACATGAGCACATCTGCCCGAACAAGGCCACTTCACAGTTTCCAGAAGAGGAGACTTTACAGAATGCACGGTGCCTGTTACTGGAATCAGCAGGTAGGCCATCCGCTCTCCCCTCAGGAGTCAAAACCAGAGTCCAGCTGCTGGAGTCTGCATGTGTCTTGTCTGGTATGTCAGAAGAATAGTGCATGCTGTGTTGGTTATTTGTTATGTTCAGGGAGCATATAGTGTATGTGGCAGGAGTACTGGCTGTGTCAGCAGGAGCTCAGAGTTAATGAGTTGAACACAAAAATTAAAGATCACTCAGAATCCTGCTTATCAAATCGATTTGTTGTTTGGCTATCTTTAAAGCCTTTGTAAAGTCTAAGAGACAACTCAAGAGCTTCCTTGGGAGGCTTGACTGCTGAGGAAACATGCTACAGTGTAAATGAGCTACCTGCTTGTTTTCAGAATATTTGTTTTAGCTACAAGAAAGTTTACACAGCTGGTGGCACATTATTTTCTAGGAAATTAAATTGCAATATCTTAATCTTGTTTCCATTTTTGCTGTTCCTGATTAGTTATATTGCCTTTTTCATGACACTTTATGAATGCTTTAAAACTCTTTAAATTTTCCACAAAGGAATTAATATTTTAAAATGGAAAAAAAAACCCCAACATTGTCTGTTATGCAGGGCAAGGCATATCTGTTCACATCTGATATTAATAGCATATTGCTGCTAAGAATGCATGAGTTTAGCTGTGGTGCTTAAAGCAACAGTCTAATCTGGGAGCAGAGATGGTATGAACTCATTCTGTAGAGCAGTGTTAATCCCAAGTGGTTTTAATTTCTTGATTTTACTTTGCCTTTTAAAAGTGTGTTATATTGCGAGAAATCTCCATGTCTCTTCAGCTAAGGTCTAGGATTTACTAAGTTTGCCAGTGATCTGAGGATAAATCTCCCCTGCAAGCATGTTCTGTGTGAGTGTGCTGATTCTGCATCCTCTGATAAAATTGCAGAAGTGTCCCAATTTTAGCAAGATATTTTATTGAAAAACTGTCCAGTTTCTTACTAGCTTGACTTCCCAGCTTCCTGGGAGTGGGGCTTAAAGACTTGGCAACCTGCCTGGAGGGTTTGATGGTGAGGCATGTGGGTGGAGGTTTAGAGTTTGGGAGGTCTACCTCCTAGACACTTGGGCTTTTCATCTTCCTTGCATTAACCAAGGAGACTATTGCTGACTTGGACTTCCTTGTTTCCCACTCAGTCCAATCCATGTCTTGTTGAAGAGGTTGGAGGTGTCATTCCCCAACTGATGCCTCCAATACCACAAGTGCTTCTCGTAGCTGTGGGTGGAGAGTGCTCCTCAGCAAGAGACTCCAGGACTTTCCCTTCCTTCTACTTAATCATGAGGGATTTCCACTCCAGATGCAACTTCTAAATAACAGGCTTTTTTGGAAGCCTGCATCTTGCAGGCTCAAGTATCTCATATTTCTACAAGTCCTGCCTATGTCTTTGTCTTTTGAAAACTGGGCCAGGGTTAGTGCAGTTCAGAAAACAACAGTAGAAGCTTGTGAATGGAAACTTCATTTCTGCAGCCTGGCAGCAGGATTTCAAAGCGGAGTTTACATTTTTATCTTCAACCAGCCATAGAGCTGAGCTGCTTTGCATGCTTAATAGTCTACCTTGACGTGTAGACTAAAAAGATAAATTTGTAGTTTACCTTTGATTGTAGACTGCAATCAAGAAGTGCATTTTTAAGTTCCTCGTTAAGAGTTCAAATACTGGAGCTGGTGCAACTGTGTCTGCTGCATGCTTTTGTCATTTCTAGTGCTGCGTTACCATATACTAACCTACCTCCAGTGTCCCTGTACCGAAAGTGCAGAGATGTCCCAAAGACAGGGCGGTAAAAAACCCTGTAGGGAATGCTGTTTATGCTGCTCTCTAACTATTTTATGCTGTTTATGCAGCTGTCGGCTCAAAAACCTGTGTTTAGACTCTGCTTTCTAATGTCCTCTCCATGTGGAAGTTAACTGAGAGGCAATGTGGAGAGCTGCGTCATGGGCTACAGATAGATTCTGCTCATGTTCCTGGAGAAGAAAATAAGGGGTTGTGGCAGCAATCAAGCTGTCAGCTTCAGATTCATGCAACTGCCAAACTGAATTAAAGTTTTCAAAATTAAAGCAAAGCTGTGAACAAAGCCTTTTACACAGTGTTGGTTAAAAACACAGTATCAAGGATCCTGCTGGGGAAGTAAGTGATAAAATTGGACTGGACATTTCCAGCACATTCTGACAATCAAACCTAAATGGGTATAGAGTCTTTGAATTAAGAGCCATCATCACTGTATTGTTTCATTGAAGAAATCTTATTCTAACAGGCCCTGTCGCTTTCTTAGTCCTGCGCTTGCTACACTTGGGTGCCCAGCTGTTGAGGAGATTGCTCAGCTTGTAATGGAAGAACACTGGCTATCAGCCCAGTCTGACTGCTAGATTAGGCAGATGTCTAAGGGTAAGGATGCAAAATGAGGAATGGCCCCTGGGATTCATACCTAGTTTTCTCTGAAAATGCATTTATATTCCCAGTAGTAATCCAGCAAATTTCCTCTGGCCTTTCATAGAAAAAGGAGTTACTTCTTAGCAGCATGGAATGTATTTTGGGATTTTTAAGGTAATGTTAATATGCCATCTTTAGCAAGTGCTTCTCCCATATTTCTTCAAGTTTCACATATTTATATAGCCCCTGGTGCCATGGTCTGTGAGGACCCCCATTTCTTTAAGGTCACTGGCCTGAGAGCAAGCTGGAGCTAGGGGAGACTTGCTGCCACCTCCCTGCAGCAGATGTGGAGTAAAGAGAGGCCAGCTTGCCAAAGTCTGAGGAGAAGATTGAATCTTCTGAACCTCACAGGTCCTGTGCCAGCTTCTTCACGGTGCCTGGTTCAAACAGCCAGCAAGCAAATGCCTGGCAGTGCTGATGGGCGATGCCGCTCCGCAGAGTAATCTAAGCAGCAAAATGCAGACTTCACGTGTGTAGGAGATAAAGAAATGCTGGGATAACTTTGAGGAATTTGTTTTTTTGGGTTGACTGGTTGTACCCTTTGTGCATCGAATGGCATTCAGAGTTTTGTCCTTCACATCTCTTCAGATTCTTTTGGGAAGCTCATCCCCCCTTCTACCCCCCCAACATCCATGTTAGGAAAAGCAAAGTATGAAACTGTGAACTGGTATCCCATCTGTCAGTTCGTAAGGTCACTGGGAAGACAGCCACATTTTTTCTCTTATCTACTGCCATGCCACATACATTTACAATGCTGTCAAAGTTGGAGTATTTAGTGACCTAGTAGCCTCCCAGTGCCTGTTGAGAGATGCCCTATATTGTCCTCTGCTTTGCTGGATTTCTTTTTGGAAGAGGACTACACCTTCCCCTGCTCTGGTATTTAAATAACGCTTACACAAAGTAGTATCTAAAAGAAAACACAGAACTCTGTGAAACTCCAGAAGACCTGCCAGATCTACAAGATAGTTAGACTGCAGTGGGGATAAATAAAACAGGATGCAGGGTGTTTGGTTTATCTGTCACCACCCAGTATCCTCAGGAACTTGAAACATGCTTTGGGGCCAAATCCGCTTGTCCCCTAATTCAGAATGACTAAGTACCACAGATGATCTGTGAGTCATCCTTTGGCCATGGAGTCTGTTTTGTATCTCTCTTCTTTCATTATCTAAATAGCTTGGTAAGAGCTTAGGCCATTTCTTGGTTGTGAGTCAGTGCACAAGCCACTCAGAATAATCCACATGCACAGTAAACCCTGGGATTGCAGTCTGTGCTTCAGTCCAGAGGACGTGATTGTAGTGGTGCATTTCTGCAGTGTGATTTTTGAATGAATATTAAAACTTGCATGCAGGATAGCACAAAGGTGTAAACTGCGGGCATGGTCTAGTAGGATGACACGTGCCTGAGGGCAGGGGTTGGAAGTCTGAGAGCGCTTCATTCAAAATGCTGGATCTGCCACTCGTTTGCGTTGTTACAGCTGGCAAGTCAAACAACCTCTTGGTCATTGTCTCCTCCTATAAAATGCACGTAATGTAGTTTTTACACTAAGAAAGAAGACCAAGAGTAACAAAACATTAAAACCAAGACAGTCGGTAAGTAGCAGATTGGTGTCAGGACTTTAAGACATGAGCTCCAGTTGAATCATTTCCCAGTGGTTGTTGCATTTATAACTGCTCCCCCCCACCCCCGATTCTCCAAAATCTAATGCCTGGGTGCTTCTGCAAATGCTGAGGACCTATAGTATCTCCATCTCTGGCTATTTTTTGCCAAAACTTGAAGGAACTGAATTATCTGTGAGATAGCAGAAGTTCTAGTAAGTTTGTTTAAAAGCTGACAAGTGTTGTTAATACTCAGAAACTCTCGGAGAGGTCTTAGCTTAGCTGACGTGCCTTGTTTTCTTTTCTAGTATTTTATCTGTGTTGCTTGCTGCAGGGTTCTTTTAGTAACAAGGAATTTGTTTTGCCAGTACATGTTGTTAGTTTCTCATTTAACACCCTAACTAAGGACAACAGTTCCATTTTTTTCTTTTTTTTTTTTTTTATTTTATTTTTAAGTCGTGCTTTGCCAGGAGAGGTCATTGAGACTAGGTAGTGTTTAAATCTATGAAAACTTCATACAGCTATAAATAAAGGTAAGAGGCAATAGAGCAGTGAGATCTGAGGACTATCAATTTTGGTCCTATACATTTCTTTGCAGGGTTGTAGAGCATGGTTTTTTTTTAAATCTGAAAATTCTCATTGTATTTGTATCTCCACCTCCTGGAGGAAGAATTGGTTGTGTGGACTGAGGCACATGGAGGAAACCAGAATTCAAATCTGCAAAGGTGCCAGCACCCTGTAAGTTGGGAATTGAGGTGCAAAAGCTTACATTTTAGATGCCACAAGCAAACAGTTGGTATAATGTTGCCAACTCTTGCCGTTGAGTATTGCCACATTTTTTCTCTTCAGTCTCAGACAGAGTTAAGTGAGAGCAGAAGAATAGCTGCTTTTGTTTAGTGGTTTTAAAAAAAACAAAAAGAAGAGGGGGGGAAGTGAGTGCTTCTCCAGAAGGCTCCGAAACAGACAGG